TCACCGTATGTCTCCTTGCTACCGTGATCTCGCCCACAGGAAGCCGCGACCGCGTGGCAGCCGGGAAAATGGCCGCAGATCCGGTTCATAGCCTGAGGCAGAGTTCGCACGTCGAGGGAAATTTTTGGGGCCGGAGCTGGTCGTATCTTGAAAAATTCGTAAGGAGGGGCGTTCGTAACTAGAGGTACCACTATATTTTTAGCAATTGACAAGGTGTGGGATCTGGCCTGGAAAGAACTAGTTTTGAATTATATTCAGCTAGGCAAAAGGCTTAGAAAGTCCATTATGTCTAGATCTAGCTTACCCTTGAGGGTTTTGCTAAGAGAAAATAAAGATCTTTGTGCAAGCTAATTTGGGTAGTATAGAGGAAGTGTTGCAAGGTAGTCATGTAACTAATTTTATACATGTTGTGCATTGTGTTATAGTTTCCACACGATCACTGCTGGATATAATAAAAGAGAAATACTTGGACATTTGAATATCATAAAAACTGGCAGGCACCCAACTCGTAGATAATTGTTGAGATAAAGTTCAAATTACTTCAGAATAAAGGCAGCGCCTCCTCCTCAAAATTCACATGGAGTCATGGCAAATGCAACTTAGTCTTTAGTATATGCTTGTGGACTATAAATCACAGGGATATATTGGAAGGAAAGGTTGGATATTGCATAAGCACGTCTATTCTTCAAGTTAAAACCTTTAAATTCTGTCATTCACTTTCTTCTTTGCAAGTCTTTCCATCTTCTATTTATCATGTAAAACTTTCAATCCCTTTAAGGCACATTTCAGCTTCTCCGATTTAGTTCTGCACCTTTGATCTAAAGAAGAAAACAGGAAGATCAAAGGCAGTCTCGGCAATGATTATGGATTCTTTATTTGTCTACAGTTTGAAAATGGCATCAGAAAGCTCTTTGAGTTTTGTTTTGCTGAGTTCCATTACCCACATGTAACATTAAATAACTATTTGGGGCTGAAACCCTAGAATTACTTAGTTCAGAACACCTTCTGTGTAGACTTCTTTAGTTTCCCTGTTACTATTATTTTTAATGCTAACTGGCTGCTTTTATTGTCTATATCTTAGGCTATTTTAATTAAAATGACAATTTAAATAAAATTGTTCTGCTAGAATATAAAAACAGCTAAAATGAAAAACAGATTAACAGAAAATGCTAGTTCCAGAAACACTTTTTCCAGTCCATCATCCCAGCCATCACTGTTCTGGAAACTATTTTCAATCATCCTAGGTTTCACATAAGAATGTTCTAATACCCTACTCATATATAATGCCCATAGTTCCCATTCCGACTCCCTGTACAGCCTTCCTTCTTTATTAATTCTAGCAGAATTTGACTGCTTGATCTCAAAACCCTTCAACAACATGAACTTTCCAAAATGGCATCAGGTAAGGATGCCAGTTACTTCTGAGATCTTCTTCCTGAATATCTGGCTTATCTTTATTTCCTGGGAGGAGAAGGAGAAGGAGAAGGGCTTAGGAATCAAATAATAGTTTGTACAAGGCAAACCCACTGTCAAATGCATTGCTTCAGAAAACATACACTCTGAACAATAGAATCAACAGTGCAATCCAAAAGAGAAGGATAATATGGGATAATCCAAAAGAGAAGCCTGTAAAAGCAGTTCTATGTGAAAAGAGAGAAGGGAAAAATAAATACAACCAGCTGGACTAGCCACTGGTCCAAAATGCAAGTGGCTGAAGTTTTTCAGTTGATGGACGATCATCAGTGCAGGCCTGTCTGCTTGCAATCAGATCTCCAACCAAGGCTAATTTTGTCCTGGGAAAGAACTGAAACTGGTAGGAATTTCTTAAGAGCTACTTTAGCCACCCTGCTCTTCCACTGGCACCCCTTTGCCAAGGTAGCTATGCTTAGAACTCTGCCCCCTCCCTCCAATACATTTTTCTTCCTTTTTCCCAACCACCAGAAACTCTTGTTTCACAAATCCATAGCCTTGGTATTCTAGCCCTATCTGCTTTCCCAGCTTAACCTTTTATTCATCTATACTTCTCTAGCTTTTTACAGAGCAATGTCTCTGAGGCCTCATACTGTATATACCCACTCACAGAGGTGCTTTCCTCTTAACACACATCAGGAACAAAGCTAGTAGATTCCCTGCTCTGAAATGGAGGCGACAGTTAGCTGGTGCTGTCGTCACAGGAGCATAAAGCAGGGAAGTGGCAGGAGATGATTCTTTTTCTCAGCTGCCTCCTTCTCTTCCCTCCACCAGGCCAACTGCGTGTCCTTCACTTTCCCTGCTCCTCTCTCTCATGTCAGTGTTTGCTGGAGAGTATTGCCACCTGTCCCAACAGAAGCAGCAGTCACAGGTCACTAATGCCCAGGATGGTTCTGTCCAAAAGCAGTGGTTAGCTGTGGCTGATGGTAACAGGGCAACAATGGACACCAGATGAAGTTCTGATCTCTTTGGCAGCTAAAACAGAAATGGACAAAGAGATGCAGAACTCAATGGCTGTATGGGAGGGAGTGGTGATGTAGCAGGCCTGGTGTATCCCGCAGTTCATTGACTTCCCTTAGGCTTCTCCTCTGTGAGAATCCAAATGCTTGAATAGATGTTGTCTTCCATCTCTCAATGGAAATCTTACTTTCCTGCAGGTTCACCTTGGTCCAGCTTCAGCCTGCCTTAGCAGTGGCTTAGTGCCATCCACATTAGGTAGATCAGACCAGGAAATCAACTCCACAGGAAGGCTAAAACTACTTTGAGACTGGCTATAATAGCAGAATCTTGCGGGTCTGATTGTGTTGTACTTCCTCCTCCTTCTTATATTACAATGAATCGGGGAGGCATTTTCCTAAGCCGCTTCCAAATATTACCTTGTTTCTCAGGCCTTACAAGATGTTTCAGCCCCCTTTGCCTAGGTAATGGTTCTTGCATATTTCCATTAAGGTCATCTTTCTTACTCTCTACACTGGCAACACTACGGAGCCTTTGTTGTGAGGATATGGCCCTGGTGAAAGCTAGGTGGGCTGTCTAGAAGCCAAGGCAAGAAGATTCTAAGGATCAGCTCTGAGTTATAAGGTTACAGGTTTCCCCAGTCAGGTACACTCCAGATATAAAAAAGGAAAAGACTCCCTGGAGTTGTGCTTGACTCCTAGCGGCTATACGGACACATCCATGCAATTTTCTTGGCCTCCACCTGTCCATCTGTTGGACTAAAATTCCTACCTTTCTAAGTGTAGATGATGGGAGATGTGGTTTAACATAACTGGAGGACAGCAGGTTAGAGATGATTGTATTATAAGTTTCTGGAGAGATCAACTGATTTGTCTATTTTGCCATGCTGTACCTGTGATGCTTCCTATTTGAGGACACTTCCTGTTGTGAAGACTGCAGCATGATCACTTTGTCTCCTGGGTATGAACAAGCATAAGGCATTCCTGGGTGCCACTCCTCTGGAGGAATCAATTTCAGGCTCCAAATGCTGAAAGCTCCTTTCCCGTCTATCACGTCAACATCCATCCCATCCTGATATGTTTTCCCATTAATATTCCAAATGACAGAATTTGAAATAGGGTTCACATTGAAAAGGAAGCATAGCAGAGGGATATCATGCTTCAGAGGTCCATCCTGCAAGAAGGATGGCACAAGGATAGAAAGATTTGGCTTCAAAGTTTCTACAAGAGATGGAAAATGACAGTGGTTATTAGCTTTATGTCCCTTGAATTATTTATGTTCAGTTTGGTCAACAACACTTCTAAATCCTATGTCTTTGCCTTGTGGTCGAGGTGTTCTTGGAGATTGGTAAAGTTATAAATCAATTAATTAATATGTATCCACAGCTTGCATTGTTGGATATATTCTTAGGCTCCACTGCAGATATTCACTCTAAGGAATTAGTGGTATTTTGTTGATTGCCACCAGAATGTCCATAAGGTAACACTGAAGAGACAAAATTATGATGCTGGAGCTCTGGCTTCTGCTAACCAAAGGAATGGTGACTGCTTTCTACCAGCCAAACATATCAATGTATGGGAGGAGTAATAAGGAAATATTAATTTTTCATTACAGGTATATGATTTGCTTTTTTGGTCTCTGTGTTTTTTTTTTAAATCCATATGTATATATGTGCATTTTTCACATAATGTGAAGATCTAGTTCTCTGATGAAGGCTCTAATGCTGGGAAAGATGGAAGAAAAGAGGATGACTAGCAGCAAAGTGGATGGACTCAGTTACAGAGGCAATGAGTTGGAAGACTTGAAGGACCAGGTGAGGAACAGATTATCATGGAGAGAATCTATCTATGTGATCATTAAGAGTGGACCCCGACTTGATTGCACATAATCAATCAATATATATGTGTGTGATTTTTAAAATAACTTCTAAAATAAGTCTAATCACATAGAACTGAACCAGTAACTCAGATAGTAAGTCATACCAGCATTTTAAGTTCTAAAGCAACTTTTCACACATATCCCAGTCTTGGATTGTCAAGGAAAGAACTTGTTTGTTTGTGGATAGATTTATTTAAAACATATTTAAATGTGTGGTAGCTCAAATTTCCCTTCCATCCAAGAAGGAATTTGTGTGCATTCTTTTACATTTCTTTTAAACTATATTTTTCAATTAAATTTGAATTAAATTTATTTCTACAGTAATAGGTTAGCATTACTGTAGAAATACAGTAATAGGTTAGCACAGCATTCATAAAACTGGTAGGTAGGCTAGCAATGAGATCAAAACAAACATTTGGAGAGGTGATAACACAAGTAGAGCAAATTATAGCAGCCAAAGGCCAATACATTTTAAAGCTTATTGTGAAAAGTGTATGTAAATGGAAAATCAGAAGGAGATGTATCTGGGTTATTCACAGTAAAGAATGACCAAACTTTGGCAGGACATCCAAGAATGTTCTATATTTCCATATTTCATGGCCACAATTCACAATTTAAGATGGTGAAGGAGTATGGGTTTTCTCTTGTAACTGAAGTGGGCACCATTTGTCTACCTTCCACTGTGAACCATCTTCCTTCTAGTTCAACCCAAATATCATTTTTATCAGCTATACTTGATCACGTCATTTATTTATTTATTAGATTTATATCCTGCTTCTCTTTCAAGGCTAAGGGTGGTATACATAGCCCTCTCCTAATTTTTCCTCACAAGAATCCTGTGTGGTAGGATGGGCTGAGGAAGAGTACCTGGCCCAAAGTCACTCAGTGAGTTACTACTCTCATTGAGGGTGGACTTGAACCTGGGTCTTCCCAAGACCCTGATATATGCAAGTATATCCAGTTTCCACTAGTGACCATGGTTCTGTTGTAGCCCAACTCAAATCAGTGCAGAGAGAAAACCCTGTCGCTGCATCTCAAATACTCCCACCAGAATAATGGGATGAAACATTAGAACCATGGGAGCTGTGGAAACAGCATGAAGAGAAGCAGGTCTAGGCTTAATGCAACCTTTTAATAAGACATCTTAAAATTTGCTTGCGTTCTCACCTGTGATTATCACTCTTGTCCTGCTCATGGGTAGTACCTTCTTCTCAGGGTTTACAACACAGGTATACACACCAGAGGCATTCCTTTGTGCATTGTTGATAATCAGATCACATCTGTGTGAGGAGCACTTTTGTTCTTTTCTCAAGTTCTTGTCACTCTGATCAATCACGCGCAGGTTTTTGTTGTGTCCTTCCTTGTACCAGGTCAAGGTCCGTGCAAGAGCGTTAGCTGAATTTTTGCAGTTGATACTTACCGTCTTTCCAAGAGGAGACACAATATTTTCTACTTTGTTCCCCTGTGAATCAGCAGCTACAGCAAGAAAACAAAAGAGCCTTTTATTACAAAATGAAGCAGAGAGAAAATATGAGTGTGCCTCTGTGTGTCTCTGTGTTTGCATATGTATTTTTCACTCATTGGTGCAGTGCATTCAATCTTGCAATCCACATAAAGATGGATTTCCTCCTGTGCAGACCCCAAAACCATCACCTTGGCTGATGGAGCAGTTAGAGGATTCATACAGCCTACACAACAGACTAACAGTCCTAGAAGCTGTTGGTGTAGAAGCCCCACAAAATATATATTTCACATTACTATCCTTATGAAGAATAACACAAAATTACAGTATCTTAGGGAAAAGATGCATGATATGTAATAAGTTATAATTTGGGAAGTTCTTGAGTTTTATCTATGAACTAAACGTATTATGCAAACCAGTATAAACAGGATAGAAATATCCTGTTTATATACTATTAGCTACACTCTGCTGATAGAAAATACTGAAAGTTGTCAGTTACACTTTGCTTATTTTTAATGATGTGCTATAATTGATCATTGAGATAACCTGTCTGAAGTAATATTGTGACAAGTCATAGATACAATTTAATAACTTCTTATCCCTTATACTGTGTGGGCATGTGCATGTAGATAAAAGGAGACCGGATTACACATGGATGAGGGAAAAAAAACCCATCTGAATAAAACTGGAGAAAAACGTAATCTGAAAGCACCCTTCACAGATGATAATTAACCTCTAGAAGAAAAGCTTGTAATAAGTTTTGAGTCTGAATAAGATTGATTTTTGAAAACACTTACCGTGCAAGACAAGTAGAAGAATCCCAGCACAATGGGCAAACATCTTACACTCCTCTTCAGCTTCCAACCTCTTCAGTTAATTTTTAACAGTTCAATCTAAATGAAGTCCATGAACATCAACACCTTTAGATTTCCTGTCAATCTGTAGAGAAGGAAAATGAAGATTAGGAGGGGCAAGAAAAACATCCTCAACTGGGAAAACTTTGGATATAGGTTTGGTAGCTTTTCTTTTTTAAAAAATGTGCAAGCAGGCAGGGTTTTAGGAAGACATTGAACTATGCAATGAGAAAATCCAAGTCTTTCTCCACCGGCACTAACATTTATATTACTGAGTAACGAAGTATTCTGCTCAAATAATGATGATTTAATTGTATGTAAAATCTGCTTGCCAAGCAAAGGAGCCAAAAAGCAAGAACTGTGACCCCAAACTAACCTAGTGAACTAAAATCCTGCAATCCTGCTCTAGTCTAAAGATGTGAGGAACAATTAGCAGGGGGTGGTGAAATGCAGGCAGCGGAATCCACATCACTGTGTCAACCTAAGTGGTGAATCACATCACACCAACGTTTTCTTGACAGTTCCCCATCAACACTTTGTGCCACCCACCTGGTACACAAATCGCCAGCCCTTCTTCAGATGCTCTTATTTTAGCAATGCTGTTCACCAAATACCTTGTTCTGTTCTCCATCGGTAAGTCCAATCTACTCTATCAGAAATCTCTAGCTTAAGCACTGTTTGGATCTGATTCAGAGAAGAGATTTTCTACATAGTTAAGCTTGTAATAATGTTGTTATCTAACTAGGCTGTACGTTATAGAGGGACAGCCTAGTCTGTTGTGGTAAGGAAAAAACTTGTGGTGTTTTAAAGACTAACAACGTTTTAGGAATTTTCAATCCACAAAATCAAATAGAATTCACTTGATAGTCTTTAAAATGCCACAAAACCTTGTATGGTTTCCTAACATAATTTCTTAAGAGTTTTCTCCACAACTTTGATTCTGCTTTTCATCCTAGTGAAGTACAGTATTCTACTAAAGGAGTAATGCTGCCTTTTAAGTTACTTACTTTGTCCCATTATACCATATATTTCCTCCAATGGGAAACAGATCCTCATAATCTGTGGCCCAAGGTCATGTGGAGAGAACTGTAGCCAAGGTGAGATATGATATTTTACCTCCCTCTTCCTAAGATGACACTCAAGTTAAAATTAGAATCCCAACAGATTCTTCTTATTTTGTCTTCACAGTATACAAAGCCCAGAACTATCAGTTACTATTTGTGGATGTTGGGGGAAACGCAACATTTGTGTGCAATTTTTCAAAAAACATTACCAACAACGTACATAACCTTCTTTGGTATAAAAGAAGACAGAATGAGCTATTACTTTTAACTAATGATTGTAAGATTGGTGGAACTGACAGGAAGTTTAACTGCAAGACTGAAGCACAAAAATTGATGCTAGAAATCTTCGACACGAAAGTGGAGGACTCTGGCTTATATCTGTGTGCGGACAGAACCCAAAATTACTTTTCCTTAAACTTTGCCAAAGCACTCTATTTGATTGTGGGAGGTAAGTAATGGATTTGAAATGGAAATACCACTAGTAGGGCTAAGGCTGTGTCCCTTGGAGCAGTTGTTCACTTGAACAATTAATTTCAGCCAATGGATCTTACTGAGCTCCCTTCTCCTCCTCTTCCTCCTTTTCCTCTTCCTCATCAGACAGTTATACCTCAAGCAGCTGGATGATGATTTTAGAACCTCCTGCACAAAATCCACCTTTCCAGGCAATGCAGAGTGGCAGCCAGCTGGCTTGTGTGGTCCATGGAGTTTCCAACTGGGTCGAGATATCCTGGGATACCTCTCAAGTTCTCCAAGACAGACAGACTCATTTAATGAAAAACCACAGTGGCTCCTTAACATTTGTCAGCGTCCTTTATATCCCTGAGAACTTTTCTATCATTGGGGAGAAATTCATCTGCCAAGTCAAATTCAATTCATCTGGCACCCCCATGAATCTGAGCACCACATTGTATGCAGGTAAATTATTTTCCATGCCCATGATAAAATGTTGGTGCTTTTTCACCCACAAGGTTTGAAGTGGTATTTGAGTGAGTCAGATTTGTAATGTCATCCTCACTATACATTGTCTGGGGTGCTCCTTGATCACCAATTTGAGCTTCATCAAAAAGGTCACAAGGAAGCCAGAGTCTTGTAAAAGAACTGTGCGTGAGCAATGCTGAACGTTGGTGAAGATAATCAGCCAAAATGGATCCCTTCCTGTTGCATTTCACCAAACTTGTGAAATGGGGTTCAAGATAGAATTAGTTGGTTTGGGGTTACTATGAGCAGTTGTGAGTAAACCAACCTCCTTTCTCTCTCCCCGCTTCCCACAGAAACAAGGACTTCGCAGAGAAATGATTGTCAACATTATGCAATACCTTTGGCTGTCATAGGAATGCTGGCATTTCTGCTGCTTATCCTGACCTGGCTTGGGATTCGATGCTGTCCTTCTAGGCTTGGTAATATCAGGAAAATATATCCTACTTCTTTGTAGCATTCTGGCTTGCAAAATAGAAGTATTCACATGTTAAGGCTTACTATGACAGTTGGGGTTGGATACAGTGTAAGTTAATAATTCTGTGATCCAGATTCATCTGTGGGGTCAAAAAAGTCAAGATGGCAGCTGTGACCACATGCTCAAACGGACCACCCCATCCTTTTTATGTGCACTGTGCAACCACCGTCTTGACTTTTTGATCCTTTCTCAGTATGCCCCTGCTGTTATCCTTTGATTGATTGAAAGAATGATTAAGGTCTGTCCTCCAGGGCTCCTCAGAACAATGTACAAATAAGCAAATACAGAAAGGTCATAAATCAGAACAAAATGAAAGTAAAAAGACCTGAGCAAACATTGCTATTCTCTTGCATGGCACCCAGCACATTCCCTCAAAAAGAAATTCCAGTTGGAGAGGGTTGCAGAAAGTACACCTAGCCTCTCCCCTAGCCTCTTCGGGTTGAAGGCAAGCCACAGGGCTTCGGATGTAAGAAAGGGTTGATGGCCCATTTGTGGGCAAAGAGGCATTTCTTTTCCATACCCTTTCATAAGCAAAAGTGGCTTCTGAAGCTTGAAAATACTTTGAAAGAACCCTTATAGGTTGATTAAGACCAGTGATATATGATCTTCAAAGGAGATTCAGAACAACAGACTTTTGTGGTAATCTTTAAAAAGTGCAAAGAGCAAGATTTGTGTTTTTTGTTTTGTTTTTTAAAAAGGAGAGCAAATGAACAGCAAGGGAAGTAACCCCAATTCTTTCATGGTACCATTTATCTGTTTCCACTGCAGTCCTATTCCAAGTCTTAACATTATTATTCTGTTTATAGATTTGATTGATTTGATTTATATATGCTAAACGTCTCTGGGAAAAGCAAAAGGCAGAGCTTTCAAGAGCCCAGGGGGTCAGGAGAAAACTCCAAAATGCCCAAAGTTTGGTTTGGAGTTAATTCTCTAAAATCACAATCTTGGATTAAATTTTGAAATAAGGAGGGAAAAGCAAAGAAAATGACATTTCATTTTTTTGTTTCCTTTTTGCCCATAAGGATACCAACCCAAGGACTCAATGCCACCAGCTTTAGAGACATCACAGGTATGGCTCTTCGCTACTTTTCCTTTTTTGGACAATATCTCAAGCTTTGCTACTGCCCTTTCCTATTGGATATTGGTACCCTTTTAACATGTAGATCTAGTCATATGTCTGAGCTTTTCTGACACATAGCACAATGAAGGAAAGCAGTGCCTTTATTTGGCCGGGGCAAGAAGATTTAAGAAGTATCTGATCAATTAATAAATAAGTCAATAAATCTGCAGACTAGTGTTCTTTATTTTTAGCTGATCTCTTCATATTCTCTGTGAAGCACTCTTAAACGATTTGTTTCTCTCTTCCATGTGAGAGAGAAGGAAAAATGAAGTCTTCTTCTAAGAAGAACATTCATGGCATATACTCCTATATATGTCTTATATACATAAGAGTATGGTTTATACACCTGTATACTTAGAAGTAAACCCACTTGGTATAGTTTGGCTATATCAGTAGTTCTCTTGTGACTATGAATTGACCAATGAATTGTTACTATTACTTTATTTCATCAACAATCAATTAATTATTACAGGAGGACATTTGCTACTCTCAGCTGGTGTTTCTTTCAAATAATGAGGATGGGAAGAAGAGACAAACATCTTGATAGGCGAATGCAAAGATCTGAGCAGCCTGTCAAAACCGATAAGCAGAAACCTGGATGGACAACATAATTTTGCCTTTGGAGGCTGGAATTAGAAGCCCAGATCTGGGATTTTGACAGAATGTGGCGCTAGGCCTTGATTTTTCCCTTCTACAATGTAAATAATTCCCTACTTCGTCCAACTGTCATGTAACGGAAAATGAGTATAAATATAGTTTTGTAATAAAGGAATACTTCAACATAAGCCACTAGTTTTCTCACCCCCCCCTTTTTTTGGCAAATGGAGAAGAGTTCTGTAAATTATCTGATGAAAAGGCCTTGAGAAATTGAAAGCTTGCACTTGTTTGTGATTTTGAGGTAACTTAATAAAGGTACAGTACTATATGAATGTGTTTACGTCAGTTTCATAATAATCTGTTATTATTAACATCCCTTCGCCCAATATTTTCTCTTTTTAGTTTTGTATTTTAGAGTTTTTTAATGTTTTAATAGTAGTAGTAGTAGTAGTAGTAGTAATAATTCTGTATTTAGTAATTGTTTTTTAGCTTGTTGTATGCCACCCAGAATCACTTCTTTTGTTATATAAATTTGACAAATCAATCAATCAATCAATCAATCTGTGACTCCCTTTCACATAGGATAGAGCAATCACAGAGAAGAAAAAGACATCTGGTTAAACTACTGATAATTTTCTGAGGAAAAAGACAGGATGGAGGTCTCATATCAAAAAAACAGCAAAAAGTAAATTGCAGAAAAAGAGAGATTTGCTTATTGAGGATGGGATCTTCTGCTTTCCAGATTTGCTCCCTTATACCCATCTTGCAAAAGAAGGGACAGCAAAAAAAAAAAAAAAAAAAAGCTGTCCAGTTTCTGTCTGGAAGGGTTCCTCCACTTTGAGTAGCCGTGGATGTTCGTGCCCTCCCTGTACTTGATTTCCATTCCCAGCAGAATTTTTGCATCTCCTAATCCTTTCTATGTCCCCAGGCTTCCAGGGGGGAAAGTGAATGTCCCCAGCAACAGCAGGAGACTGTTGGTCAGTCTG